AAGCGCCATACTGCCTTCCATAGTGGTTGAACCATTTTACACTCCCTCCAGCAGTGAATAAGGGTTCCACTTTCTCCACAACCTTGCCAGCATTTATTGTTTGCTGTTTTGTTAAATTTTGTTATTTTTACTAGGGTGAGATGATATCTCATAGTAGTTTTTGTTGTTTGATTTCTTGACAACAGTTTCCATGGGGGTTGACTGTGGATCCAAAAAAAGAAATTCTTTACAAATTCAATCTTTTCTCTGCTTATCGTGATGTTGTTTTTTGGTTCCTGTTGTTTACCATCGAGTCAGAACCGACCCACAGCTGACACTACAGCAGGTTTTCAGAGGCAGTTAATAACGTGAGAGGAGACTGGCCACCTTTCTCCCATGGAGGAGCTAGTGGACTTGAACTGCATTCCTTTGAGATTGCTGTGAGCTTCTTGTTAGTGGCAAGAATTTTTATTTTCTTATATTAAGGCATGAGGACGTACTTGCGGCACCTCTCCTTCTGTGGGCTATGGCCGGTATGGTCTGAAATCCACAACATCTAACTGAAGAGTCCTAGTCAACCTGCATTCTGCATTTGGGATGGATACTGAGGAAGGAGGATGTGGCCATTCAAAAGTCCTCCTACCTCTATCCCGAGTTTGATCATGGATTTAGTTTTAATCTTTTAACTGGGGAGTAAAATCAGAAATCTTTACTCTTAGTTTTGGGTAGAAAAAGGTTGACATTAGGGCCCTCTAAAACAAGAAGAACTTAACTTTACGCTGCTCCCATGTTTGAAGGAGGACAAAGAAAGTTCTATCTGGCAAAATTTCTATATCATCTTCAGTAGAAAACACTAGGTATCTTTTAAATTGCGACAGTTTCTGTTTTTTTGTCCAGCTTTGCATCAAGTGCAGCTCCCAGGGTAATTAGGTTTTAGGTCTGAAACAGATGCAGAATCCAAAGGCAGTGCAAAAAAGAGCCACTGATTTTACCATGCCTCTGAGCTGCAGGTGAGTAGCATTGTCTGGCTGAAGAGTTGTAAGCTGTCACGTTCAGATTCTGGGTCACCTATGAGGCCAATGCTCGCTTCTTGGTTTTTTTTTATAACAGGTATACTTATATGGAACCTCTGTACAGGAGCCTTGTGTTTGGTTTGTGTTATTGGTTCTTTTCCCTCCACTAGCAAGTGTCAGCTGGCTGGACTTTTGCTTGCCTGTTTTAGTCAACAAGGACCCAAGGGCAGAGGGAATACTTGGTATATCATAGTCAACAGCATTTGTTGGGTGTGTCTTTAAAACTCCTCGTGATGGGTTCCGTCTGTGGCTGGCCTGGAGGCTCCTGTGCGGTGGTTCCACTCTTGAAGTTGGTTTCTTGATAGGGGTCACACAAGGAAAGTGTTGAGGTTTGTGCTGATTTCTGTTTTGTTTGGTTTGGGCATGTCTTTAAAATTCCATAGGGCCCAAGGGCCCAGATTTATTAATATTAGCATTAACCTTCTCTAAGTGCTACAGCAGTTTGTCTATTTGCTATACTGAATAATTTGGAGTTGCTGTGATGCTAAACACTATGCCACTGTTGTGTCAAATACCATAATGGTTATCTATCATGGACAGTGTTTGGAGGAGCTTCCAGACAGTAATTTTTGGAAGCAGGGCTGGCATCCATTCCTAAACCAGATGCCCCTGGAAACTCTATAAACTCCATAAATATGAAGAAATGATGTTAATTATAGACCAGAGTTCAGGGCTTTTGTTCATAGGGTCGTTATGAGTCATATTCAGCCTGACTACACTTAACCACAGCTAAGTGAGACTAGTGTTATATTTTGGGGGAACATTCTTTTCTTTGCCAATTTGCTGTACTGAAGTAATGTGGGTTTGCTGTGATGCTGAACCTTGTGCCATTGGGTGTCAAATGCCATAACTGTTTCCCAATATGGACAGTGTTTGGTCAAGCTCCCAGTTGTAAAACACGTTTGGAAGCAGGAGTGGCATCCACTTCCTAAACCATATGCCTATGGAAGCCCTATGAACTTGGAGAAATGATGATAGTTATAGAAAGGCATTAGGTCTTTTGTTCATGGAGTTGCTTTGAGTTGTGCTTGACTCAACAGTAATCAACAACAACAACATATTAAGTAAGGTATAAATAATATAGCCCTTAAGTTTCATCGAAAGTGCTTCAAGTCTTCTTTATTTCCTGCAAGCAAGGTTGTATTATTTATGTATTTCCAGTTATTAATGAGTCTTCCTAGAACCCAGATGACAAGTTCTTCTTAAAGTCTACCTTTATGGATTATTTACTTAGCATACAGTTTTTGAATGCTGCTGTCAGATAGACTCCAACTCACATAAATTGACAACATGCAAGGAAAAGGACAATCCTGAAAGCTTATACAGCTAAAGGTAGAATATTTCAATTATATGACAGCCTTTATCTTAAGGTTTAGGAATTACTAAGGGTATAAAAGATATTAATTTGAAAATGCCATATTAGAAATAGACAATAATAAATTCTCTAATCTTTTCCTAACCATCACATAATTACTGAAAAATTTAAAATATATTATAAAAATAAAGTATTTGATACAAGAGGCCAGTGCATGGCAAGACAATGCACTGCAATCCCAGAGGTATGCGGTTCAAATCCACCAGATGCTCTGCTGGAGAAGAAGGGAGCAATCTCCTCCTGTACCAGTCAGATCTGATTTGATGGTACATGTAAAAATAATACAATAAAAATTTTTTTAAAAAAAGAGGCCAGTGCAATAGTTTATGTTTTGAAATAAGCCACAATATTATATAATAAATCTGTTACATCATTAGCATTCTTGATAATAAAATCTGCCAAATATATTTCATCACTAAAATCTGGCAAATATATTTTACACACACAAAAAAACCCCTTCAACAAACCCAACAACTCATTGTGTTGAGTCAGTTTCCACTCATAGTGACAAGGCTGTAAGTTATAACAGGAAGAGACTGTTCATCTTTCTTCCAAAGAGCTGCTCTGGACAAGCCAAAACTCATGGCCTTGGATAAGCAGCACAATTTGCTACTGACTACATCATCAAAGTTCCCTATTTTCTCTTAAAACATATTAATGCAGTATTATATTTACTGCAACAAAGACTTAAGAAATGGAGAGCCAGTACTAGTTTCAACAGATTAAATGAAAAATAAAGGATTCTTTATTTGCAGTGAGATTTAAAGTAAGTGTATTTACCTCCTCTTCTTCTGCTGCTTGTGATTCTCGCAGAGCTGTTGGGAACACTCGAGGGGTAAAGTTGATTTTAATATTGCCAGAAGAACGAGGAGCAGGAACACTGTCTTCCTTTAACTTCTCAGAAAATATATTTTCTGAATTTTTCCCTTCAAAAATAACATTAACAAGTAGCTGAATTAACCATTTTCTAAATTAGCACTTAAGATCATTTTTTAAAAGTTTTAGGGTTTTATTGTGATTTCAGTGAAAGGCTACAGAGTAGACTGGCTTTCCATTCAACTAATCACACAGATTGTGCTTTATAACATTGATTACAATCCCTATAGGGTCATACAAAGACTGTAGCCTTCAATGTGGACTGCATGTCAACATCAAGAAAACAAAATCCTCACCACTAGGCCAATAGGCAGTAGTATCATGACAGATGGAGAAAAGACTAAAGTTTTTAATGTTTTTATCTTGCATGGATCCACAATCAATACTCCTGTCACCAGCAGTCAGGAAATCAAAAGATGAGTTATATTGGGAAAATCTGCTGTCAAGGACCTCTCCAGAGTGCTTAAAGAACAATGATGTCAGTCTAAAGGCTATGGTGACCTGCTCCAGGCCACTGTCTCCTCAATTGCTTGGTAGGCACCTGAGAGCTGGATAATGACTAAGAATGACAGAAGAATTGGTGTCTTTGAGCTGTGGTGCTGGAATATTGAACATACCATGGACTGTCAAAAGAACAAACAAGTCTGTGTCTTGGAGAAGATGAAAACAGTTTGCTCCTTGGAGGCAAGGATTTTGAAGTTCTGTCTCACATAATTTGGGCATGTTGCCAGGAAGGATCAGTCCTTGGAAAAGGACATCATGACTGGAAGGGTGGAAGTTCAGCATGGGATAGAAGATCCCAGATAAGATGAACTGACACAATGACTGAGGTTGCTATGAATCATGGTCAATGTGATAGCACAAAAAAAAACAACATGATAACAGCACTCTTCCCATTTTTTCCTTGTGATTCTAATTTCCATTCATCTGTCTATCCTGTCCATTTCTGTCTTCTGGCCATAGTCTCTAGGTAAATGATGCCTTTTTGATCTTATACTGTTAATTTTTCTAAAGAGTATCTGCCTAGGGGTGGTATTCACCGTATAAGCCTGTATATTATTTGGCTGAAAGTAGGACTACAAGGATGGGTTTCATTTCAGGCTCATAGAATGACTAAGGACCATAGTCTCAGGGATCACACCAGTCTCTATTATACCAGCAAGCTTGGATGTTTTTATGGTTTTAAGTTTTCTTCCACATTTTTCTCTCACTCTGTCAAAGACCCTCCACTGGGATTCCTTTTACAGTGGTCAGCAGTGGTAGCCAGGTACTGTCTAGTTCTTTATAGACTCATGGAAGTTGATGCCTATGTGATCCATTTGTCCTTTAGGATAATTATTCATGTCTTTATTTTCTTCATTCTTTTGTCACGGCAAGGAGAGACCAATAGTTGCACCTTAGATAGTTACCTGAGTTTTTAAGATCTTAATTTAGAGATCCAAAGTTGTTTTTATTAAGTACTGTCAGTCGAGTGCAACCCACAGTAACCCTATGAACAACAGATATGACCCTGTCCTATCCTGTTCCATTATAAGGCAACACACTTCAGTTCATTTCTGCAGACACTGTTATCTGTACACATCATTGAAGGCCTTCCTCTCTTACGCTGGACACAAATAAGGATAGAAGAACTGATGCCTTTGAATTGTGTTGGAAAAAAGTCATGAATATCCCATGGACCGCCAAAAAGAACAAAAGATATGTCTTGGAGAAAGTGGAACCAGAGTGCTCTTTGGAGGCAAAGATAGTGAAACTTCATTTCTTACACTTTGGGCATGTTGTTAGGAGAGGTGATGGGTCTAATGGATGTAAATGATTGTATTTGTAGATTATTTTACGCAAATTTACCTTGATGTCCTACTAAACTATGGTCAAGGCCTGAGGACCACAGCATTTCATCCCCTCAGGGTATTTGGTTATAATAAAATTTACGTAACTTGGCCTCCTTGGTTCTACTATATACATGGATATAGCAGTAAGGAATTGCACAGCCAATTCAAACCACAAAGGTATGTGGTTCAAATCCACCAGCTGCTTCACAGAAGAAAGACAGGCAGCCTCCTCTTCTGCAATTTACTGTCTCTGAAAACTTGCTGGAAGGTTAGCTATGGTTCGATTCCAATTCCACAGTACATGACAATGACAGGTGGCTTAATCCCAAGAAGAGTTCACCACCAGTAGTAGCTCAAGGGAGAAAGACAGGAAATCTCTTATCATTTAAAACCTTGGAAATCCAATGGATTTCACAATTGCACTAGTTATGACTTCAAGGCAATGTGGCAGTGAGTGACTTCTAGCATACACAAATAGGCACATAGAAATATCATTTCCACAGCTGTTTGGTCATGGGTATAGATGCTTCCCATGTCTACATCTGATCATCTTACTTGTCTACCTACATATCTACTTATAAATTCTTATTAATTAAGGTTTTTTATTGATAATATTGATAGTGGAAGATTGTGTACATAACGGAGTTTACCTCTATTCTATCTTCTGTGCACTTCTCTGTGTTTTCTTTTCCTCTCATCCCTGGTAGCCATCAAGAACGTCTAATTTCTGTGTGTAAACTTTTCCTTAGTTTTTTTAAATAGTGAGCTTATTTTTCTTTTTGTGACTGACTTCCCTAACTCAGCAAAATGTCCTCCAGATTCACTCATATTATGTGGTGTTTCACAAGTTTTCAGTTATTCTTTTTTTTTATTTCTTTTTTTCCTCCTTTTTTTCAGTTATTCTTTAATATTTCATGTTATTGTTACATGTCATCAAGTCACCTGTCATTCATTGTAACCCTATTCACAATAGCTTTGAAATCTACCCCATCCTAAGCCAGTCTCTGTCAGTCACTGTCTCTGACTCATCTGCTCCTAGAACCCCAGTCATTTTTTCTTTTTTTTTTTTTTTTTTAATGTGTGTACCGTCAAATTGGATCTGACTGGTACAGGAGGCGATTGTTCCTCCTTCAGCAGAGCATCTGGTGGATTTGAACTGCGCACCTCTGCGATTGCAGTGCAGTTGCCTGCCACTAGGCCACCAGAGCTCACCCCAGTCACTGTTTTAATCCATCTCATCCAGAGTCTTCCTCTCTTGTACTGTCCCTCCATTCTTCCAAGCATGATGTCCTTCTCCAAGGACCAGTCCCTCTAGGCAACATGTGCAAAGTATGTGAGATGAAGCATCAAAATCCTTGCCTCCAAAGAGCAAACTGTACCACTTTAGGATAGATATGTTTGTTCTTGTGGCAGTCTATTGAATGTTCAATACTCTTCAGCACCACAACTCAAAGGCATCAATTCTTCTTCTGTTAAGTCATTGTTCAGCTCTCTGATGCACAGCAAGTAACTGCAAAGACTATGGCCTAGATCAGGCACACCTTAGTCTCTAAACTGACATCTTTGTTTTTCAGCACTTCAGAGAAGTACCTAACAGTAGATTTTCCTAATAAAATTTGTCTTTTGATTTTCTGACTGCTGGTGCCAAAAGTGTTGATTGTGGAGCCAAGCAAGCTGAAGTTGTTCACTATCTCAATCTCTTCTCCATATTTCATGATGCTACCAATTGGCCCAGTGGTGAGAATCTTTGCTTTCTTGATGTTGAGCTTCAATCTATATTGGAGACAGAAGTCCTTGACTTTCTGCACCAAGTGCTTCAGATCATCTTCAGTTTTGGCAAGCAAGATTGTGTCATCTGCATAACGTAGGCTACTGATGAGTCTTTCTCCAATTCTGATGACATATCCCTCCTCATAAAGGCCAGCCTCCCAAATTATCTGTCCTACATACAGATTGAAAAGGTATGGAGACAGGATGGGTCCCTGACACACTCTTTTCCTGATTTTGAATGACGCAGTGTTTCCTTGCTCTGTCCTGATGACTGCTTTCTGGTCCAAGTATAGGTTTTGCATGAACATAATCAAGTTTTCTGGGATTCCTATTCTTCTCAAGTTTAGCCAAAATTTGTTGTGATCTAAGCTTTCAAATGCCTTTCCACAGTGAAGAAAGCCAAGTAAGACAGTATTCCATTATGTATATATGTATCACAGGTTATTTATACATTCATCCATTGGTAGCCAGTTAAATGGTTTCCATCTGTTTGCTACTGTAAATAATTGCTTCAGTGAACATATATTTGCTATTAGTCCAGTAGTTGGACTAGTGGATCAGATGTTACCTCTGCTTCCCATTTTTTAGCAAAACAAACTATTTTCCACCCAGCCATTTGGCAGTATCATGACAGAGAACAGACTGAGATGGTTAACAATTTCAGTTTGCTCATTTCCACAATAAACACTCCTGGCACCAGAAGTCAGGAAATCAAAAGATGAATTGCATTAGGGAAAATCTGCTGTAAGGAACCTCTCCAGAGTGCTAAAGAGCAATGATGTCAGTCTAGAGGCTATACCTGATCTAGGCTGTGGTCTTCACAATTACTTGATATGTATCAGAGAGCTAAACAATGACTAAGGATGAAAAAAGAAGAATCAATGCCTTTGAGCTGTGGTGCTGGAGAAAAGCACTAAACAGATCATGGACTGCCAAGAGAACAAACAAGCCTGTGTCGTGGAGAGGGTGAAAACAGGTTGATCATTGGAGGCAAGGTTTTTGAAGCTCTGTCTCACATAGTTTGGGCATGTTACCTGGAGGGACCAGTTCCTGGAGAAAGACATCAGGCTTGGAAGGGTAGAGGGACCAGCACAGGAGTGGAAGACCCCAGGTGAGATGGATTGACACAGTAACTGGGGTAATGAGGTAGGTGTGTCAAAGACAGTGAGACTGAGATAGGCTCAGAATAGGGCAGGGTTCAGAGCTATGGTGCAGAGGCTCACAATGAGTTTTAGTTGACTTGACAATACATAACCAACAATAGCAACAAGAAATTAGTCCTATAAGGTGAGTATCACCACAAAGAAAAGTTAACCACACCACATCCAAGAGGAAGAATTTGCCCAGGGATAAAGCTCACAAGGCAGGAAGGGAGAAGTTAGGAAAAAAATATGAAAACAAGAACCATAGGACAGAAATGGGAAGAGTCCTGTTATGAGGTGAGGATT